ATATTTTTCTTTGGGAATTATATAGGATTTCTCGTTAATATACAGACACACTTTTAAAGGTGGTAGGTGCATCAAAATAAACATTTTTTTGCTTATTAAAATAAAAATAATTTTATTGCCCAACAAATTAATCCATTTACATAACAAAATACATGAAATAAATGCTAAACATAATATTTCGACAGAAAATAATTTCAGCAACAGCAAGAAAAAAAAAAGAAAAGAAATAATCCTAAATACATTAGCTACAAATTAGTACAACTAATGGTCGAAATAAATATCCCAATCAGAACAAAATTAATTAAAATTTGAGCACATTAGCGTTATAGGTGAATTTCTTCCTAAGTTCGTTCAAATACTTGCTGTATAAAATGTTTTATGATATCTAATGGCTGTTTGGGGAACATTAAAATTTATTTAATTTATCACAAATAGTACATCAATAGTGTTATGTAATATTTTATAAAAAAATGTAACACTGAAAATTACCCTTCTTTTTTCGAAAGAAGCAGAGATTCTTCAATACCTCGAATTATATACAGCTCATCTATTTTAAAAGAAAGGTACTTAAGAGATCGCCGCTGAACATTTTCCAATGATCTTTTATGAATATTATAAATAAGGTTCCAGACAAGAGATGCATATTCTGGCCTGGAACGAACTAAAGAAAAGTAAGGATCTCCAAGCTTTAAGAGTTTGTTAAAGAACCAGTATTACGGAATTAAGAACCCTAAGCTTTTCAACGCAGAAGCAACCTCGGAAGCAACGGTATTTTCAATATAATCCGAAAAAGTAACTTTTTGGTTGAATAATATACCTGCTTAATCTTCAATTTGTGCACAAGTCCGATAAAGGTAGGCTGTTAAATAAATAATCAAACTCCACTTCTAGTATAGGAACATACTTTACATTTAGACACATTCATAAACAGCTTGTTTTCATTACACCAATTTTCAACGATTCCCAAGTTGGGTCTGTAAAAAGTAACAGTCTTGAATTGATAAGATTGAGGTAAATATTTTTAAGTCAGCAGCGAACAGCAGGTTAAATTTATTGCCAAGTCATTTATAAATATACTAAATAATAGTGGCCCCAGATTGGAGCTCTGTGGAACTCCAGATGTTGCTGTGAGGGGTGAAGATGAAAATCCGTTGTAAAAGACATAATTAAAACAATGATTTAGGTAAGATGAAAATAATCTCAACAGCGACTGATCAAACCCTAAGCTTTCCAACTTCCTTACAAGAATATTATGATTTTTAATTATTACAAAATACATTATGGGCAGGTTGTACAAAAAATATTCTTAACATATTTTAACTAACAAGAGTTTTATTTTTAACTAGTTATATTCAAAAACAAATGTCATTTTTAAAACTATGTTTAACAATAACCGATGAGTATACAACAAGGTTCACAGTTTAAACTAAGTCTACATTTTAACTGCCTATTGTACAACCCGCCATATGTACAATTAAAAATTAATTGTATTTCTTTAAAATGCACTTGATTCTATTGATCAAAACCATTCGATAAGAAAAAATAAAAAGTATTGGTATAAAGGTGGTTTTTTATATCTATGCCATAATGCATGCATTGGAGTAGCATGTAGATTACCTAAGTATCAGGTCAGAGATATTAAAATTAAATAACATATGTAGTGGGATTCTCATCTTTCAATACGTCTCCTATAGAGACTCCTATCTTTGTTCGACAGACAGCGATTTTGATGTAATGACTCTCTATTCTGTATGTAATGTGTCGAGTTGGCACAAAAGAATCGCTGTTCTGATCAGAAGAAATTAACCACATCAAAGGAAGAAAATTAGGTCCCCTGTTATTTTTAATTTATATTAAAGATTGTTAATGTTGCAATAATTAATATGACATTTACCTGTTTGCCTTTGATGTCCTTATCTATGTTTCTTGTAAGTTGTAAGGATTCAGATAACTAAGAGTTAATAATTGTCAATGAAACTCTGCAAAATGTTTATAAATGATGTTGCAATCATTTGTTAAAAATCAACACAAATACCTAAAACAAAATATAAGCTGATAAGTAATAACTATATGCAGTTTGTGGACAAACAATATAGGAAATTGGAAGAAAATCTATACAGTTAGTAGAAAAATTCAAATATTTAAGGGTAATTATTCGGAAACAGATGAAATTCACAGACCATAGGCAAATACTGTTATCAAAACAATTGCAGTTAAATTACATTTCCTATTTAGAATGTTATTAAAATAATTGTTATATTATTACATTATTTTTTACTAAATTTGAATATTGTTATATTAGCAAACTAGCCAAATAAAAATAAAATAAAAACCGAAAACATACCTGGATCTACAATAATATATATAAATAATATAAGTACATTGCATCTTTTAAATTATTAAAGTCCATTAAATTGAAATGACACGTCAAACCACAAACGTCAAACTTTCAAAACAAACATGCTTGTGTTCCAAACAGAAAATAGCATTTATAGAATAATTTATTTTTCTACACCCGTATTATAATAATGCACTTATATGCCCATAATCCGTTTCATAATGATACCCATTATGATACAGATTTTTCATTATGATACAGATTTTTAATCAATAGAAACCTACAATTTTTCAATCAAGCATGATGTTTGACGTTTGTCCTAAATTCCTATGTAATTGTTTTAGTTGTCAAAACGTATTAAATTTTCGTAGATAGCTAAACTTCGATAATTATAATATTAAAATGTCTGATATCAGCGATATAGAACACTCCTCCACACATATAGGAGAAAGGAGAAAATGCAGTACAAAATATTTTGCCCCAAAAATCTGTGGTAATACCAGTACCCAAGGTAATACCATTAATTACAATTTTGTAGAATTTTTTATAGAAATACGAGTAATTACTGTTATTGTGTTCAATACCAATATAAATAGAATATTTATAGGTCTTGATTATTTATCGGGTGTAGAAAAAATAGCGTATGCAACTCTCATGTAATGGTTATTAAAACACTCGCATAAACCATACGAAACTCGCCTTTGGCTCGTTTCGTATCCCGGTTAATGCTCGTGTATATTAATAACCATCATTACATGATCGTTGCATAATATACTATTACTTGCAACCTTTCCCCACACACCACCTCGCCCCTCACCCATAAACATGGTCAAATTGGGCTAAGGTCCGGTTTTTCAATCTCCGGCTATTTAGGATAGCTGGCAGCTACGGAGATAGCCGTCAGCCACTGCCTGTCAAAACGTTTATCGATCTCCAGTTATACGATAGCCGTCAGCTATTCTGACTGTGGGTGGTATAGTAATTGTTCTGTGGGTGGTATGATTGAACGTTTATGTTATCCGTAACGTACATGTTAGGCCGAGTTTTAACAGCAAAGAGACAAATTCGTATGATGTAAAGTCTTTCATAACATATTACTGTTATTTTCCGCCTGTTATGTTCTAATTTAACAGGTTTCCATCATACGAACTTGCCTCGTTACTTTTAAAATTCGGCCTAACATATACGTTACCGATAACATAAACGTTCAATCATAGGACCTTGTAACCGTAACCGAAACTTGCAAGTGGTAACTTCGTACAGGATAGCCGCCAGCTATTTATTGTACATGCGTAAGACGATGTTTGTTAAATTTAGAGGTTAATATTTTTATTAATTTTATTTCTGAAAAATGGGTTTCTTTGAATATATTCACAGCGACGATGCCAAAAAATAAATTATTTAAATTATTGAATATTAATCAATGATGACCGTGTAATCCGTGTGTTGTAAGGGAACGGCCCATTTATTCCGATATCGATGAACTGAATTTTATTTTTTTTTTGTTTTTTTGTGTCATCGGCATCAACTGCTATGGTTATTAGCCTCGTGTTCTGTGTAGACTTTGTAACTGTTTCCCAGCGCCACTTTAGGAACAACACTGTTAATTAGTACCCAACAGTAAATGGTCGAGTGGGGAATCCTACCATTCACTGTTGGGTACTAATTAACAGTGCTGTTCCTAAAGTGGCGCTGGGAAACAGTAACAAAGCCTACACAGAACACGAGGCTAATAACCATAGCAGTTGATGCCGAAATATTAAATTTTAGATTTTTCTGCAACCTTCTCATTTCGTTTCCGTGATATTGCATTTTCCGTTTTATTTTTTACATTTTGTAAGATAACCAAATTTCAATAGTATGGCTCTATCTGATTCCGCGTAATTAGATATTTTCTCTTTTTTCTAAATCACCAATTGCCCAAAAACAAAAAATAACAAGATCTTAAAGAAAAATGGAAGCAAAATAGAACAATTTTTATGTGAAGGTCGGTGACGATCAACACAAGACACGATATGTAAAACGGAAAATTTAAATTATCCAATAAAAACCATTTAACAAATTAGCAGAAATGCCAACCTGTCTAAGAATAAATAAAAACTATTAGACTACGTAGCTAGCAGTTAAATTCGTGATGAAAAACACTTCCATCCATATTCCATCGGTAACAGGGACTTTGACTGCCAGCTAAATATAGCTGTCGGCTACGTAACAGCCACTTTGACTGGACATTGAAAAACCGACCCTAAGCCATTTTACATTCGTCTGCATAGGGAGCGATGTTGCAATTTTTCAATTTTTAGTGTCTATTCCGTCTGTTCAGATGGCAGCATCTTATGGGCCCTACATTTTTAAATCTTATCACAAGAATCCTGAAATAATTAGGGAAAAATAAAAGAATGTATGTTGCGTTTTAACTTTTAAATACTATAAAAAATTATGGAAAGTCCATAACTTTTAAATATTTGTTAAATATCACTTATTAAAATATTTTGCATTAAAAGTAAAACGAACCATAGACTTTCCATCATTTTTTACAGTTTTTTTAACCCATTTATGAAAACAGTTTTTAAAAATATTATCGTTCAGAGCTGTATTTCTTGTGATAAAAAAGTCGCCGTCACTTGTCATTGAACTTGGCCTTAACGGTTAATATACTTTGGTATCACTGCCATCACTGGTTGCTGCTGTTCTGCCAGATCAATGCACAGTAGTTCAAAAGGAGGAAGGAAGATATGAAAAGTAGGTCAATTTATCTACTCTGATTTTTTAAGGTTATGTGATATGTTACGTTTACGTAATTTTATTTGTTGTACGATTTTTGTTGTACCCGTTGTACCATGTCTTGTTTATCAAAAACTTTTAAATTAAATAATGGATTAACAATACCTACTATAGGACTCGGGACGTATAAAGTAAGATAATTATCTTACTTTATGAATTATAATTCATTATTTTTTGTTGTATTACAATTTTTTAGTCCGAGGCAAATGAGGTAAAAGAAGCTGTAAAATATGCGGTTGAAATTGGTTACCGTCATATTGATACAGCTTGGTTTTATGGCAATGAAAAAGAAATTGGCGAAGCACTATTAGATATATTTCGAGAAGGAAAAGTTAAAAGAGAAGATTTGTTTATTGTAACAAAAGTAAGTAATAATAATTGTCAAAAAGCTTTTTAAAATTTTAACATCTTCCAATGTATTATGCAATAAGGCCTAATCAACACTGATAAAAACAATTGATCTGCTTTGTGCTAGTAAAAATATGAATTCCTTACTTTTCTAGCTGTGGAATAATTTTCATGATAAGAAGAATGTTGTTCCTAAATTAAAGGAATCTTTGAGCTATTTGAAATTGGATTATCTCGACTTATTTTTAGTCCATTGGCCTTTTGGTTTTAAAGTAAGTTGTTATCTGTCTTATTTATTTGGCAAAAGTTAATTTTTCAGAGTATTAAACATAATACAAAATGTTTGCAGGTAATATGAAATACACATTTTTTAGGAAGACAGTTGTCCTTTACCAACAAATTCCAATGATTACAGTGATGTTGATTACCTAGAAACTTGGGAAGGGATGGAAGATTGTGTAAGGCAACAATTGACAAAAAGTATTGGACTCTCAAATTTTAATAAAGAACAATTAGATAGAGTACTTAAAAATTGCAAAATTAAACCTGTAAGTTATTCTGAAAAACGATTTATGGCATCCAAACTTGTCTAAAATATATTCCAAAACTGTAACTTCTAGACTCTAGTAGTATATTTTTAGGTGATAAATCAATTCGAAGTAAATCCAAATAACAGCCAAAGTGAATGGATCAAATTTTGTAAAGATAGAGATATAGTAGTGACAGCCTTTTGTCCTTTAGAAAGAATAGGGAAGAGCAGAGAGCCTGGTTATCCATCAGCTACAGTTTTAGATGCAAAAGTGTTAGAAATTGGCAAGAAGTACAATAAGACACCAGCTCAAGTTGTATTACGATATTTGGTAACTGCCACAATATTTATAATAGGTTTTAAATAATGTACAAAACATGTCCTTTTTCAAATTCTTTTTTCACATTCACATTTTGTTTCTCTTTTCCAATACTATTTTACTTATGGCTTGTTCTAAACGCCTTAATGACAACTCAGCAATGATCAATGGGTAAAATTTTTTGATTTGTGGTTTGAATGATGCTCATTTTAAATTATATAATTATAATAACCACTATTGAAAAAACGTAATATACAGGATGAGTCAGGAGGAACGGATCAAACTCCAGGAGTGTATTATATACATGAAAGTAATGTAAATACTCATGGTCTTATCCGATTTTTATTCGTAAAACTAGACACTTGTGATGCATTAATTTGACATATTCAAAATACTGTAGCCTAGGTTCACACAGAACATGTTTAGAGGATAATGAAAAGAATGCTATGATTAAAACAATGTTGTTTTGCCCTATAACTTGAAAACAAAATTCAGATAGCAACATGTTTTTTTTTTTCATTATTTTCATGTGTACCATACACTCCTGAAGTTTGGTCCGTTCCTCCCGACTCACCCTGAACTAAACAAGTATTAGTTAATAAATATTTTATTTTTTTAGCTTTCGCTTGGTATAACAATCATTCCAAAATCAGTAACAAAATCAAGAATTTTAGAAAACATTCAAATATTTGATTTTGACTTGTCAGATGAAGATATTTGCTACTTGAAGTCTCTAAATAAAAATTATAGAGTGTCGGCTATGGGACAATATAAGGACCACAAATATTATCCTTTTTAACGACAACATATTTTTAAATGTTCCTTATTGTTTTATAAAAGAATATTTTTAAAATAAAGAAAATAAAAACTCAACTGTCTTTAATCAATAAATTTTTCCTTTTTAAGTTGACAGGATGACAGGTGTAATTCTAAATAGGTTGTAGTGTACAGGTAAATAACAAAAAATTATATCAACGGGATCTAAAACCATTTCTTAGATTCAAGGGAGACATTTATTAATACTATTAATTTTATTAAATTAGACATACTATGCTTTAAGTTATGGAAGTGTTTAAAATGTCTACCAGTTCCCTTGTATATTGAAAAATCCATGTTGTTTTTAGCAGCACTAAAACATGTTTTTATTGAAATGTGTTAAAAACAAACGTTACGTTTTTAGGATACAAATGACTTCCACCACATCACCTTTTAATTAGGGTTTGAAAATTGTTTAAAATTAAAAATTTCTGTAAAAATATTTGTACCCTTTACTTTTTTTAACCTATTATCAAATTCAGATACGATATCCATTCTGCAGTTTGTTAAAGGTTGTGCGAAAATAATATGTACTTTATTCCATCTTAAAACTATTATTTATACTTATCACTTTCATTTACAACAAATAACTATTCTAATACAATCTTTTAAAACACGTTCACAGTTAATAGTCCGGGAGGTAACGACATATTTCAATGAACCATTTTCGCAAGCTCTATTTTTTGAATATAAGTTATTTAAACAGCATCTAACAGTAAAATCATCGTCTTCCATTCCAGTTGTACGACAGGGCGTTGCGAAAGGGTTGCAATTCCAGTAAAAAAAATATAAAATTTTTTTTCGCATGCATGAAACTTGGTGTACACGTTTTTCCACCTAAATTCTATTACAAACTACCTCTTCCACCTTCATAAATAGGCGTAAAAAAATAAAAAAAAAATGTATAATCGCAAAGATGAAACCATGTGTGATGCTTATTTTTATGGTAAGAAAAATAAAAATATTAATTTTCTACCTTTAAAACACAACAAAGGTCGCCTTCCAAGCCGATAAAGGTGTTCTCGACATGCGGCGCTTGCTAACAGCTAGAACGTAGTATTTTTACCTGTTCGAAAGATTTGCCGCGTTTGAGAATCCACATCGGATGCATTTTTTACATCTCGAGCGTTTTTTTATCCACATCGGACACATCTGTCCCATTACATTTACGTATACTGAATCACGTGATCAAAGATTTACTACATCTCGGATGCATCCGATGTGGATTCTCAAACGCGGCAATTGTAAAATGTTAAAAGGACTCTTACAAAGTGGGTATTTACATTATAAATTATCTATCCAATTAATAAAGATTGGTTAATAACTATACTGAATATTTTACCGTGAAAATGAGGTTTAAGTAAATCGATGAAATACGATCTAAAAGTATGCAATAAAATTAATTATTTGCATTATATTTAAGAGATTATTTTGAATGGAGTATTTATAATTGCGGTAGTTAAGGTTAGTAAATTTAAAAAAACAAAATATATTGTATTTTATTGGAATTTTTATAGAGCTTATTTATTATCAAAAATTTTAACAAATTTCTGATTTACTGTGTACAATAATAATACTTTTTTATTATTTTACAATAGCCACATTATTCCAAATCCCAAGAAGTCTTGGAATCATCGGTTTCATTGATAATAATACCAAATTCCTTAATATCGTCATCCTTTCCGTCCGATTGATTATGACCCTCTTGATTGTTTCTTCATCTGTAAATATAAAAACAATAATTTATAAATAGTCGACATTTTTTTGCATTTGCATGTCTTAAATATTTCGTCACCCTCATTGATTTTATAATTTTTCATAAATAGAGTCACACGAGCCTCGTTGACTTTATTATTTTTCTTAATTTTTAAAGCGCGTACATTCGGCAAATAAATTCCTCCAGTACTGCATGGACTTCAGGTATTGCCGGTATTCAATTCGCTGAGTCTTTCAGAAGGATACACGTATTTTTTTAGATTTTTTTTAAAAGAATGAGTGGACGAGTTTTCCTTTGCGGTAAAACAGTGGATTGTAATCACATCCAGTGAAGGCCTGGAGAGCTGGCACCACACTACACAGTTTTAAACCTAATTTGTTAGAGAGCTCTGTAACATTAACAAATTTGTGTGCATTCCCCACACCAACATGGATCCATACTATAATTTAACATCCTTTCTGAAATACTGATATTGCCCAACAATATAATAAGAATATCAGTGTCAGCACGATTAATATTAATATTTTTCAATTCAGAAAAGAAATTGGGCGCCTTTGATCTGAACCTTGTATCTGAAAAAACGATCTTCTTTTGGCCCTTATAACTTAGCGTTCATTATCTTTTATAGATGGCGAAATATATTGTTCAAATGCGACGGCGATTGTCTGTACTCCCTCAGTGATGCACATATTAAGGAATTTTTGCGATATTCTACCAAAAGTAGGAGAGGAATCTCCTTCATTAGGTGTAGTAAGAAAAAACCATCATGTGTAATATTTCGGTTGATCTTTCCCTGTTTTTTCCAATAATTTATACAATGATGATTTGTCATCTTACAAATGGAGCCATCAACATGATAACGGGATTGTCGTAAGTGGATACGCCATTACTTTATCGATATCCAAAGTTTTCTCCAGAGAAACTTTTAGAAGATGGCCGAATAAATCTCGTTGCATGCGCATTTCTACAACTTTTCCTGCATAAATAATTGTTTTTTGAACTGCTCTGGCAAAATTTAAGATTTTTTTTTTATTACTGTTTTCGAATCTCTCAGCATCTTCGTTACATATTTTTATAAAATATTTCAGCCTCACCTAGGGGGTTTTATTTAGTGTAGTCCTACTAGAATAGTGCTAGTTCAATACCAGCTAACTACCCCTTATGTTCAGATCTACCTACGGTGTGAAGATTGAGAGATAATTATCTAAGATAGTCCAACCCTGTAGTAACATCAAGCATATACGGATAAATGTGAGTCTAGTCGTCCGATGTGTCATTTACCCCAATAAGCTGAGCTGTTATTTAGTAGATATTTGCGAGGGTTCATTGACAGTTCGGTAGTCAGACTCTTGTTATCTTTTACGGTGATATATTAATTTGAAGGCAATATGGCCCATAGCATACACATCCGGACGAGCTAAATGCGATGTCGGTGAGCAACAAATTCCTCAAATCTAAAGGTTGACCATTATTGAATAATAATGAGTTACACAATAATACTCATTATTATTCAACAATAAATTCCCATTTTTTACAAAGTTAATTTCGTTGTTAAGTTATTAACTCACCATCGGATATGCAGACCGTTGGGCGTATATTATCGTCTGTTTCTATTTCAGACATTTTATATTTTTGTATTCGGTACGGAAGCGTTATTTTGTGTCGGGATAGTTGGCAGGGACGTTGAAACGTAGGCGTCGGGATTTAGAGCGGCGTGATGGAGAGAGAGCGTCGTCACGCAGAACGCCAAACGTAGAGAAGTAAGGACGTAGGGCGTCAGATGAGATATTGGGCGTCGGATAAAAGAGGTGACGTCGAGCGTCGAGACGTGGGAACGTTCGGGAGGCAGGTCGTCGGACTGAAGAGCATCGTATAAAGGTAGTATATGAACTACGTGGGTTTAGGAAAGGTATTGATCTTGAATTATACTAGATTTGAAGAATAATACGACTGGAGCTCGAAATCAACTGAACTGAGTTTAATTTCTTAATGATTTCGAGTTCCCTTAAATCGGATCTTTATACTCGATTTAATTACTTTTTGTAACGTCAGTTTCTTGTGTGAACGAATTTGGGCGGATAGGGGGTGGCTGATTTATTACTTGCCTTGAAAAGTTTGTGTATCGAAAACAACGTTCCTATTCAAACTGACTTAAGATAAGAGCGTTAAGAGTTTAAATGACTATTACTTCGTGACAACTTATGTTGTATGGTGGTTTTAGATTGAGTTCCCAGACAATTGTTAGTAATTGGATCTCTTACGGGCAGGGATATAGCTATTATTTATTAGGTTTCGTTAAATAAAGGATTTTGAATTTAAGAATGCAACTTTTCTGTAATAAAATGGAATTAATAAAAATATGATTAAGGTACCTGGATGCGGTAGGTTACAATATACGTTTTTAAAATGAATTAAAAATAAAATTTAGTGACTTCGTCACAGGCTTTTGTACCAACGCTATTTAGCGGACAATTAATTAGTCGTATGAACAATCCTTGTCAATCTATAAGCAGTCGTGGGCACTATCTCACGAGATCGTTTCCCCCTCTTTAATGGAGATTTTCGATGGCCTTCGACTAGCGTTTGCGGGTTTTGACCCTGCATATAAGAAATTTTTTATACGGTGCCCATTTTAGCAGCGTCTGCATTTATGGTTTGCTCTAGTATCGAATCAACTGGTTGCAATGCTGCCAGATGTGGATGATGAATGACCCTGAAAAATAGCGGTAGATTTGTCCTCAAAACGGTAGATTCAATAGATGGCATATTACCCACTAGATGGCGCTGTTGCATCCAGCGCAAAATAACATTTCCTTACGAATATTTTTAAAATTAAAGTTTTTTTATTACTTACTTATAATACTATACTGAATATTATAGGTTATGATGAATGATGACTATGACAATATTTTAAAACAGGGACTTCCCCGAAAACCAACATTAAAAATAGTTATCTATAAGAAAAGCGGGTTGCCTATTGCCTAGCGCTTGCTTGTTACTTTTCGTTGCATGAAGATGGCGCCAGGTATTTATGAGCTGATTTATATTTTTTACATTTCAACGGTAGAAAATTTACCTTGGGCGGTAGAACGGTTGTAACATTTTAAAAGTCCAGTTAAAAATGTTATTTTAAATATGTGACATCCTGTATAAATAGTTTTCGATTAATTTAAATTCAATTATCGCCGCACGCAATATTCCAAAGAAAGGGATATTTCGGGAACTGGGAGTACAGTAAATCAAACGATTTCGCCATTAGATTTTTAAATTTCATTTATGATTACTATCTCTTCGTATCTAGTAGTGTTTGGCTGTAAAAGTGGTAAGCATAAAGTCATTG